GAAAAAGCTTTAAAAACACCCCGAAGTTTACTTTCTTCATCCTCTTTCCAGATCTGATGTTCCTTTTACCGAAAACAACCTCGATCAACGTAGATCTAGGTTTGAAAGTTTTTTTTTCTTTTTTTTTTGTAAAGTCGACACTTATATGTATTTTTTGTTTCTGCAGCTAGCTTTGCACTGATGGTTCCTTGCTTAATAGGCAAGGATTGTGTTGTTTTATTTTTATTTTTTTGGTTTTTTTTATGTTTTTTTTTGGTTTTCTGGTGGATGGAGAGTTTTATGAGGGTGTGGGAGAGCTTAGGTTTGTGGGTGTAGGAGCTTGGGGTTTTTCTAAATGTTGAGCTTCTTCTCCTCCTATAGTGGCTAGATGGGTTTGGTTTTATAGCGATATGAGATTGACAGGGTATGGTGCTTTTAGCGTGGAATGTGGTGTTAACAATGGTGGTCCAAGAGTGAACATGGTTTGCAGCGTATGGTGAGAGGACATGATAAGGGTGGCAGTGGTGACAGGGTATGGGCAACCAGAGGGGTGGATGGCCGTGGTGCCGTGCAAGGCACCACTGCCACCCCAGTCTTCTGTTCTTTTTTGTTTCTATTTTTTGTTTGTTTTTGTTTTTATTTATTTTTGTTTTTTTTTTCTTTTATTAATTATTATTTTTTATAATAATATTAAATTAATTTGATAAAAATTGAAAATAAATCCTAAAACTGAATTATTTATAACATAAAATTATCAACCCAAATAAAAATTGGTGTCTACATTAACGTGGTTCGATCTAACCGACCTATATCCAAAGATGAGAAACAAGATCCACTAGTTGTAGAGAATTACAAACATACATCAAAACATATCAACCACTCAACGATCAATGCCCATAGACTCTCTCAATCTCTTTTAGTCTTATGAAGTATTCTCAATCCAAACAAACACATACCCATTTATACCCTTTCAATATAAGTAAATACATACCCATATACACTCATACAGTATACCTATGTGGACCTTCTCAATCTCTTTTAGTCTACTCATAGACAAATATATACACTCATAAGACGTAAATCTTCAATAATCTTATGAGGTGTCTACCTATAAAATCGTATAACTCTCTTACATCTTTTTCTCATACCTAACCTTGTTGAGACTTCACCTATTTATAAGTATATAAACTTTCATATTAAGAATCTCTTTCCTCTTAGAATTCTTTTTCTGCAAGTCAAACTTGTCCATCAAGTAATATCTAATAAATCTTAAACAAATCTCTTATAAGATTTGAGTCATTATTTCTAACAAAATCATCTAATAAAATATTAATGAAAGTAATAACCATTAAAAATTTTGGATAACCGGTTATTGTCATAGGCTAAGACGCAAGCCCCAAGCCGATGGCTGGCACGGGCCATGGAGTTGTGATGAAGAAGAAATAAAACTCCCCTCAACAGCACTTGTGGAAAATCACTATTTTGCATTGATCTTCAAGCAAGGAGAAACTATCATGTTCCATTTTTCTAATTCTTTATAATTAAGTTGGCCTAAAAGACCTCGTGGGAATAAAAAGGAAAACAAACAGAAATTCAAACATATTCAATTAATGCATAAAATAAGGCGGTTAAATAATACCCTTCAATACCTTTCAAAAACTAAAAAATATTATTTAAGATATTTTTTATCAAAATATCTTAAATAATCTCTTTTATAAAAATATTAAAGATTATTTAAGGCATTTTTGTAAAAAAATGCCTTAAATAATCAATCATCTTCAATTTTTTGAAAGATATTATTTAAAGCAATTTTGACCAAAAACATATTAAATAATCTCCTTTAAAAAAAATTAGATATTATCTAAAAATGTCTTAAATAATTCTCTCATATTTTTTAAATGATATTTATTTAAGGTGTTTTTTTTACTAAAAACACCTTAAATAATCTCTTTAAAAAAATAAAAAATTATTTAAGACGTTTTCCAACCAGAAACGTCTTAAATAATTCATAATATTTTTTTTATTGATGATATTTTATAAAAAAAAATAATAATCAAATAAAATATTTGTCTTCGGCTTTATTTGTCATTTGGGTATTTATTATTAGTAAAAACTAATAAAAGGTTGCTATCATTTATATTAAGAAGATTATGGTAATTATTTAAAAATTAATATATGTGAATTCCTCCTAATGTAAATTTGAACACGAGTTATCATGAAAATGGAAAAAAAAAATTCGAATATGGCACTTTCCTAAAAATCATATTTTCCCCCAGAATTCAAGATTTTGCCAACTAAACGCTTTCTAAATATATATTATGGAAAGCAACAAATAGAGTAACATCAAATTTAGGAACTCACAAAATTTGGATGAAACATATAACCAGTGACTTATAGAAAAAAAAAATAATGGAACAGAAATGATGTGCGATTGTAGGGTATCAATCTTTTAAGAAACCTGAACTCTGTAACCAAGTGAAGTATTTAGGAAAAGAAAACGAATGAAAAGGCATCAGTTCACAATATTGAAGATAAAGGAAAGGAAAAGAACATCTAAAACAGGATCTTCTGTAATTGCCTTAACCAAATAGTGTTTAATATATGAATTTATGTGTAACCAAAATTCTCCTATTAGTGGCCATCCTAGTGCATTGTATCCAAGCACTTCAAAACCATGAAATATATAATATATTATCAACAAGAAAGAGTTAGTAATATCCATTTCATCCTCATTAATACTATATTTTCCCAAGGGAATCGTAACAATAATTTTGCTTATAGAATCTTTCTCATAATGACACCTTATTGCTTAAATAGGACATATATAGGTTATCCAACACAATCAACGAGTATGATATTTTTCAAGTTTAGTCAAGATTCAGTATTAACTTTCGTCATAAGTTCATAACCCTAAAAGGAAAATAAATCAAATACAACCTGTCTTGAAGTTTCTCAAAATATTTAAATGTTAATTACTTCCAATACTATAATCAGCTGCCTTTGCTGCCTGTAGCCCTTCTCTTCCACTAATGCTGACGCTAATATCAGTTTGTTGTATCATTCTCACATCATTTCCACCATCAGCAGTAGCCAATGTTCCATAATCACACGTTAAACAAAGCTGCCAAAGTATCATTTCAGTTATATCAGTACTCATCCTTTCCATAGAAACAAAGAAAGATAATAAAAATCGTCACACATAATTACAGTTGTAATTTGTAATTAAAAATTTATTTGTATTCTTAGAATTAAGGAGTGTAAATATTTATATCCTTAGAATTAAGGAATAGACAATCATTCAATTATAAAAATTACTTTTAGAAAGATTTAAGGAGTATAAATATTAATTTTTTATTTATCTTCTAGCATTAGTTTTAGTTGTATATAAACTTAATTCAATAGAGAAATATTTTATATATTTTTTCAATTTTTCATATGATATCAGAATTTTAAATTATTCTTAAAACGTAAAATTTTTAATCTTCATTACTGATTTTCAATCTACTGCTACCACACAACTTCATCCACTTCATTAGTAAGTTAATTATAGATTCTTACCCAAAAAGGTGCCTTATCGAAACCATAATTACAAGGTCTTAGGTAGAGGCAAATCGAAAGTATGAAGTAGGGTGTCCATAAACATTTAAAAAACTGGAAAATAAAAAATTTTCTCTAGACATCCTCAAAAAATTTTCTTTAACTCCCTTCTTGTCAACAAATTGATAAATCCGTTGATAATTTTTTATATATATTATAAGTAGATACATTGAAAAAGTCTTAACATTACAATACCATAAGTTGGTGCTTGTCAAAGGATCATGGTGATCCTGTTCAACTCCGTATTCATTTTTTTTTCCAAATTTAAATAAGTAAAGATTTACATATAAGAAAGACACATTTAATTCCTTCACTAGTTCCCAAACCACTCTAATTAAGAGTTCTCACCTAGCATCCATAATTCTCCATTTTTTGTATTTATAGTCTTTTGCACACCATTAGTTTTCGGACTTTGCTTCTCTTCAGTAAGCTTAAGGTCTTACTAGGCTCGCTCTAATTCTTCTGCCATGTCACTGGCCCCAATGGCAACCGAGAAAACTCAAAGGAAACTCAATCTCAAAAACCGTAAAAGAAAACTCTTGAGGGAAGAAATTCTTTTGTATAAAAAGAAGACTCACAAAACTCCTCCTACTAAACCCTAGTTTCGAGGAGATTTTATATGTGAATATTACACTAAATAACGGTTCATTGAATGGATGATGAGATAAATTCTACTGAGATCAGAAATAATAATAGTAATGGTATTAGATACTATAGTAATGAAATTGAAAATTATAACGATGAGATAAAAAATAATGATTAGATATGTTTAAATGTTAATGTAATGACAATGGAATTAACTAACTGTCTCATTAAAGAGAGTCAAATTCCATAATTAAAATTTTTTTATTTTTTTTCAAATTTACGCTAAATCAATATTGCCTTGAGCTTTCTAATTGGAGACTAGAGATACAATATTGCCTTGACCTTTCTAATGGGATACTAGAGGGACAATGTAGGTTTTGACCTCTTCTAATTGGCGCCTTGAGGGACAATGCAGGTTTTGACCTCCAACTATACCGCAGAATGCATTTGGAGATCAAAACCAGATGTAGTGGAATCCAAATGAAGCTCCTGTTTATTTTTAGCTTTCTCCGGCGTTGAGGCATATTATTCTCCAAGTTTATGCTTATTCAGTGTTAAACAGGAGGGTTTGAGATACCCTTTATTTTTGTCGTTATTATTTATCGTACGCAAAAGGCGAGAACCAAATTTTAATACAACTGTTCCGATACGTTTATTTGACGTAGATGAAGTTATTCATTTAAGCTCTGATTGGGTTTAACTTATCCATCCAGGGAAAAGGAATCAAAACCATAAATAAATGGTTGAGTTAATAAGATAATATTAGTATTAGCTGGGAAGCAAAGCACCTTTAGAGGAAGGAAGACAAACCAAAGCAAAGCAAATAACGAAGCGGACTAGCAAGAAGCAATATTAGAGACTTCATATTTCATATCATTGAAAATAAAAATATTAGTTTGAATGAGAGGTGTTAAAAAAACAAACATCACAAGCTGCATCTGCTACAACAAGGGATGCAATACAGACTAAATTGGCTGCACCAGATGTATCATCAATTGCAAGATATCTACAACAGTTGAACCACGATCAATCTTTTCCAAAGGATCGATTCCAAGCAACAGCAGCAGCTTCCAGCAAACAACTGCAATTCAAGGATTGCCTCCATATACACCTACATCTTATCCACAACTGAATTAGCTCTCTTTGACTTAGCATCTTCAGTTATCTCGTGTAATTTTAATCCTGTTGTTACAACATAGCTATATTAGGATTTAAGTCTGGAATAAATTTCTACTTATCTTCTAACTGTCAATTACTGTATATATGTATTACAAATAGAGCAAACGCTTTACATGGCATCAGAGCCTTTCTAAACCTAACAGCTTTTTCTTTCGGTCTCATGGCTTCAATAATCACTGTTACATCTGGTGCAGCGAATTTGGTCTGTATTGCATCCCTTGTTGTAGCCTGCGGAGCTTGTGACGTTTGTAGTCTTAACACGAGGCTCTGACAAAAACAGCTAAGAGAAAGTATAATTTCTTTTCCTCTCAGTTGCCAAAAACAGGGATCACTATCCTATATTATTTACATCAGATTTAGGATAAACCTTAACTAAAAAAGTTTCTCACTCTTTTCTTTTTTCTTGCTCTTCGAAGCTCCTACCTATTCACATGTTGAAAATTATAGTGAAACCAAAATATTTGCCTTAAAAAGCTGCTATAAACTATCAAGCATCCACTGGTGGAGGAAGATTAAGATCGAGACAGGGGCTCGGCAACCTTGGCTTACAATCAATGATTGAAGAAGAGTCCGACTCACTTTGGACCCTACCTCCAAAACCCATACTCAACCGAACTTCGACCGGCTCAAAAGGAAGCCGGTAAACCTGACCTACAACCTCAGTTCTCCCCGACGCATCGAAAAACAGAACTGGCCGCGCGTGAGCCACCCCACCCATTCCACCACTACCCAGAGCTAGCTGCTGGTGGCACGCGAAAGGAAATCTCCCTACAACCCCATTCACACTTTCGCCTTCACGCTTAAGCTCACGCTGCACCGCTGGGCTAGAGGATTCCTCGACGGTGCTGCTTTGTCTAGGACTCTGCTGGTTCTTGTCCTTGTTACCTATGTAGCTGTTCGTTTCATCTGGTAAAGGGAAGTTGGTCTTAGCCTTAGGCCCACGAAACTCACGTGCCACCGCGTCGTAGGCTCTGGCAGCTTCCTCAGCCGTATCAAAAGTACCAAGCCAAACGCGTCTCTTCTTGCCGGGATCTCTGATTTCAGCTGCGTATCTACCCCATGGTCTCTTCCTAACTCCCCTATAATGCACCTCTTTGCTCTTTGTATTTCCGCTGACGTTTCCTTCCTTCAAGACTTGGCCTGCATTTTTGTCTTTGGGAGCCATTATAATTTTTTGGTGTAATTTGCTTAGAGAGACAAATGCGTGTGATTTAATATAGAATTAGGGGGATGCGCAGTCGGGGTTTGACTGACGCCCCACCCAAGTCGGGAGACAATATGATAACGCTGTCTGGGTGTACGTGTCACGTAGGAATTTCGAGGCAGGCGGCGAGGTGTTGATGTTGTGCCGGCTTTTTCCTTAACCTCCTTGCATGCCCTTCACGCTTCACCTTTTTTAGTGGATTCCACTCTCCACTAATTTCAAGCATGAATGCCGCCCATATCTTTCTCTTAAATGTTGCCATTAATGTTAAAAATAATTTAAATTAAAAAAATAAATCTAATTTAATCTAGAAAGTATGCTAATTTTAATATTTTATTTTATATATGATATTATTAAGTCAAAATTTTTATTTAATGGAGATTTAGTGTAAATATATTAAATTATAAAAAAATAATAACACACAATCGTATTAAAAAATTAAAATTTTCATATCTAAATATAATTTTTAAAAATATCCAATTTTATATTTTAAAAACATTATACATTAATTTTATTATCTATACTTTTGAATACATTTTTTAATATACATAATTAATTTTTTATTTATTATACAAAGAAAATTTTAAAATATTTATTTTTGAAAATATTTTTATTATGATAGAATCAATTCTAATTTTAACAATAAATAAACCAGATCAGTAAAAACTTTTATGTTTTATTTAAAATTATAATTTTTTATTTTAGTGAAGACATAACTCCTACTGAACCTCATATAGCTTTTTGCTCCTGATTTTATAATCAATGTTACGGATTATGCTTAAGAATGATATTGAAAAATGAACGAGGAATGCGAACTATTTTTTTTAATTTTTAAAATGAAAAGGCGTGTTTAGCACGATCCTTTTGCAAAAGTGGGCAAAGAGGCATCTTGTTCGGTGCCTTTCAGTAATGACCAATTCTAACAACTGACGGTATCATGTGCAATATATATATATATATATATATTGGATAAATGCAAAACTTCAGAATCGGTATTTTTACACCGACAGGTAAGAGAGAGAAGAGAGTCAAAGTACAGCCATGTAGAAAGCGACGCGTGTCCTCAGCGCCGCCCTTGACGCTCCAAAGAGAAGCCGGGTGGTGGACCGTATGGGTTTGTTTCGGTCCAATCACCTAACGACATATGCATACGTTGACGTCACCGTCTTTGTTTGCAAAGAAAGTTGTCCCGTTCCTTCGCTTTCCAAAAACTTTTTTTTTACTCCCATCCCACTCGCAAGCGTGTGATTCAAAGAAATGTTTTACGGGAGGTTGTTGGGAACGGGCTAAGCGAATCGCGTGACGGAGTGAAGCAACCAAAAGGGTGATTAAGATGTAACCTAAGCCAAAAAAAAAAAAAAAAGACATAATCACCGTATTCTTAGCTCAAGCAAAAACAAAGCAGCAGCTCAAGCCATTATGGTATAGATTTATAATTTTGAATAAGATGGTATGATAAAGATAATATAAAAATATAATATAATTTAAAATTTTAATAAAACATTTATGAATATAATAAAAATATATGTGTAATATATTAACACTAATTTAATATATTATTTTTATATTTTATAAACCAAATGAAAATAATATTAATTCGTAAATTACTAGATTTACTGGAACGGATGATTTAGTTCCACGAAAACTTAGGGTCAATGATAGGCGTGGAACTGATGCTTAAGTTGACGGATTGTGGGTCCCACTGAGAGACAATAATGGCAGGCGGCGGAGTGATTTGTCTCAATTCTGCGACTATTTAAGATTGTTTCCCATTGATATCTGTTAACTTGGTGGTGAGGGGATCTAGCTTTTCCATCCCAAGTCAGAACTGGAGTTAAAATATCTGAGGTTGAACTCTTGCTTGGGTTCAAATAATAATTGAAATTGGATTCGGTACCATTAGATTTTAGATTTATTTCGATTTATTAGTGAATAAATTTTATATATTATTATTAAATTAAATTATTTTATTAATAAATTAAATTAAATGATATTATTTTATTAATGAAATTTTTTTAAAATATTAATTTTTGTATATTTATTTTAAAAATTAATATCTATTTATTAATAAAATAAAATTATTTAATTGATTAATAAAATATAAATTTTATACATTAATATTATATTAAATATTAATTCTTAAATTATATCATAAAAGTTTTTGGAGATCGCAAAGTAACCCACTTTCTTGCCTGTAAAAAAAAAATTAAAAAGGGCAAGTGAAGCACGCCGTGCAATAGAAGCCGTTTATTCTGGAGATTGGGGGTCCGTCACGTGGCTAGGCAATTATTTATTGGCTACGAAGAGTTTGCCAGGGTGATGGGAAGACGTACAACCTATAATTTTTTATTAAAATATTATAATTATTCAGTTAAAATAAAATTTTATATACAACTTTATCATTTATAAATATAAATTTCATATAATTATGAATTATTAGTAATTAATTATATTATAATCATTATAAATAATATGCTTTGACAATAAGAGAGTAAACCTAAATGGATAAAGCTGAAAATTGGTTATACTAATTTGCCGCGGTAAAACTTGCAAGTTTTAAGTCAGTGCTATCAAAATTGATTTAACCTGTTTGAATTTAAATATAGCATAATTTGATTTGATAAAAAAAATTAATAATTCAAACCTTTTCATTTTGAAATTAAAATAATTTGAATTCAAATTAATTCGATTATGAAATGATATTGTTTGAGCCAAAACCAGGTTTGGGTGAACACTTGTAAAAAAAAGAGCAAAAGTCAGGAACAACATCGAAGGTGGCTCTGATGTTTGTGTTCTGACTTTCAGCCAGTAAAAGGTTAAAAGAGAAAAGAGAGTTATGCAAAAGGATGAATGAATGGCTTAGGGTTACTTGTGAGAGAATAAGAAGTGTTTATACTTGGGGTGTGACACAGCTGGTGGCATTCGACTTGGCATGGGCTATGCTGACGTGTATCTCAATGGACCAATAACTACGTAACACATTCGCATACCCATCTTTGGGCATATGGATCAAGAGTGAAGCTTATGTCAACACACGAGAGGTGCCAGTCCAAGAATCTCGGTTGCGCACCTCATCCCTGACAACTTTGGCATGTCAAGTCAGTACAAAGTCCAAAGTACCTCAGGTTGGCTAAAGGATCGAAGTACCTCCAGACCTGAGGGATACCTTTAAAGATTTCACCCAGAAGGTACTTAATATACCAATCACTCTGTCGTCCCATCAACTATTCTGATGGTTCAGATTAGGTGATTTGAATTTTGCGAAGGTTAAATGATTGGGCAGAATGGGCATACTCTTTTACTTATACATCTTAGGTAGGGACAACAAGGTCGGCCAATATGATCGGTCAGGTTGCCTAGCAACACTAGGCTAAATATGATGTAAACACTAAGCATCAAAATTTGACTTGTTTGGAAGCGTGCTTAATTTGACTATTTTAACCAACTATTCCTAAGTGCGTCTTAGTTTTGCTTGCTAGATACTCTTTGATCAGTTATTGCTCTGTTAATGACTTATAAAATCTTAAACTATAGGACATGCTGTAAAATCGAGAAGCATTTATTGAAGAAAGATGGCTGTCGAACCGACTAATTTTAATTTTTTTAGGTCGGGAATTCGAAAGTCACCTTTTTCTATATATATATATATATATATGCTCTTCTTATCTCAAAACTGACACTTTTGAATCTCTTAACAAAACTCTTGTTCTCTAAGGATTTGAGCTGTTCTTTGGCACTTTAGGTGTTCTTTGGGTTTTTAGCTATTCTAGAATGTTTTTAGGCATTCTGCTAGGTTTTTAGGTATTCTAACTCTTCTCTAGCCTTTGTGTTTCAGGTAATTCTTGGTGTTTCCCCTTTCTTTGAATTCTTCACCTCATTTTTCAGACTTTGGTACATCTTCAAACATGTCTCACTCTAGTTCATTTTTAAGGTCATAGATGCTGAAGTAGATCTAAGGGCTGAGCTTTCAACTAAAACAACCGAGGTGAATGCCACCATGTCTTCATACTTGGACGAATCTCCCCCAACACTTTTTAAATGCCTAAGGTGAAGAGTTGACTAGACATAGGTGGTTTTGGCCTTTGTCCAAGGATAAGAAAAAGGCCCTATACGAGAATGAAGCAGCTCATTCTGTCGTTAAGTTGAATAGAGTTGTCGTACTCGACCAAATGGTCATTCCCGTAAATATCTACCCACTTAACTTAATCTAGAGAAGTCAGGATCTGGATTTAAAGGTTTTGACCACTCGGAAGATGAGAATGACTCAAACTAGGGATAAGCTTGGGATCATTTACTTAAGGTTAGTAACGTCTTTTCAGATAATAACCTTATAGAAACCATGAGACTTTTAAAGGGTCGAGCTTTCCTCGAAAATTGCTCTAATCTTTGTACACTTGGTCATATAGACGAACTTAGGAATACTTTTGACCTCTCTAGTGATTACAAGGTTGAATCTTTTCATGCCTCTGATAGAATAACTCAACACCAAGGTTACAATAAACTATGGGTGTACAGGGAGACCATGGTAGCTGGGCTGAGATTTTCTTTGCATCCTTTCATAGAGATCGTAATGAATTTTTATGGATTGACTCTTTTTCAGCTTGTACCCAACTGTTGGTGTAGCATTGTTAAGTTTATAGTGTTAGTTGAGGGTCTAAATAGGCATCAAACTTTTAATCTTTTTTGGATTTTCATTTCAATAAAAGCTTATCCTCGAGATTGCAATGGTATTATGTTACAGCTTGATCTAGTAAGAAGTTATTTGATAGAATCGCTACTTCAACAAAAACATGAAATTTATTCTTTTATTCCATTATCACACCAAACGAAAAATAGGTAGTTCGAAATAGCCCAGGTCAGTTCATCAGCAATTCTGATGGTAATAACTCACTTTCTGTGGAAGACGTTCATGCCTTTCAAGAGATCAATAAAATCATGAATTATGGGACCTTCTTGATTGATGTAAA